TTTACGTAAGACCAATATTTATTATTAGTTTTTTATTTATGATAAGGAATAAAATATTAAGTGCTACTTAAATTATCGCTTTTATTTTCAAGTTAATTGAGTATGAGCAAACTCGAAAAATCTGCCCGACTAAAACTCAAACAGATTTCAATGTTGTAAGTAGTACAATTCAGACAAAAAGTTGAAACTCATAAGTAGTCTACACTGAAGCATCGTAAAAAATTACATATTGTAATAATATGGTAGCGTTGTAAAGGATTGTACAAAGGAAACTGATCATACCAATTAGTTTATGGAGGATTTCATATGACAAATTATACTTTAATATTTGTAAAGTAAAACTGCATATACTATGATAGTTTTTTATTCAAAAGCCTTATAGTAATGAGGATATCAGCATATCCGTACATAACTATTAATTGTTATAGTTTTGTTATATAATTCAAGATGGTAAGTTCATTTGATACATTTAAACTGAACTGAACCAACGAACCATTCATCACAAATATAGATCATTTCCACTGAATGCTAAAATGTGTACTTAAATTTTAAGAGAAATAAGGACCGGGTCGGGAATTGGAAGCAGACATCAAAATAATGAGTAGTAACTGCGATATAGTTCGATGGAGAATCCTGGTGGGCGGCTTATGCTCCTCCATGACAGGTAACAGGTGTAGGTAAGTAAAGATCGAGCTAGGAGTTTTGGCAATTTCTAAAAAGAATATATTAAGTAAGAACGTATAAATGTCGAGTTGTAAAATTTACCAAAACCCTTGATTATCAAAATATATCTTGTGGATTTCCCACTTTCTCCGATATCTACAAAGACATATTGAAACTATCTAGCGTATCTCCATTCGGACCAATTAATGGAAAATATAAATCTTAATTATAGTCACAAATGCATAACTTCGTATGAAGGGTTATTTAAATATGAAAATGAAAGCGAGTAAAGAGTAACATGAAACTTAGGTAGCTACTTTTAGTGAATAAGTTAGTATATTTATAATGAGTGTTTGTTTAACAATTCTTTAATATATTTCTATACAGTCTATAAGTGTTGAAGTCATGGTGTCTTATTAAAGTGAATCAGTTCTTTCTATTGCAGAAACAAGAGTGAATGTGCTGGGAGCACAAGAAAACCTGAACGAACCCAAAGTGTTATGACTTCTGGCCTGTCGATTCTCACAAACAGAACATGACTTGTACAATCTCAGTATTGTGCCAAACTAATGACGTGTTGACTGCTACGAGCAGCCTACAATCCTTATTGACGCTTCTTGCCTAGCTTCGCCTGTTGAGTTCAGAACACCAATATCGGCTTCCACTGTATGAATTCTGCTTCAAACATACTTGGTTTATATACAAGTAAACCAAACCACATCAAGCCATAAAATAAAAAACAACAATTATGCATGATCAAGCCCAAACGTGTCTGTGGATGTGAGAGACTGTAACCAATAAATTGGGAATAAACTAAGACTAGTAAATTTTATGATAGTAGTCAATAGGTCAAATTAAAGCTTATGATAAAAGGAATATAAATATATATATAATCTAATTACTTGACAGTTATACAATAAGAATATGTATATAATATTAGTCTATTAATAGTTTCCGGAAGTTAGCAGTACTTTATTTTCTTCGGATATAACAAGAAGTGCGAGATGATGCATAAAAACAAAATTTTCAAACTCTTTTGTTCCCTGTTGATCGCGTGATTCAACTTCAAAATACAACCCTTTGTGTCATCAATGTGAGTTGTTCAATTGTTAGTGCTCATCAGTCGCTGTTCTTGTATTGTTCAGGTCTTTCCTGAACCCTGATGAACCACCACAGCACAGGTTACCAGTCATCATTGAAAACCACATTTTCAATCATCCATTGTTTAGATAACTTTTACTGCTCATTAAATCTAATAGACTATGTGTTACTCATTTTTTGTACCAAAAATGTTCACGTTGTGTACTCGCTGAGAACCATTATTTGTGGTGCGTCATAGTCTCACATATTTTACACATATAGTCACGTGAGTTTTATGTCTAAAATACTCATCATTGTTTCTGGTGTTCTGCTTAGTGGCTTGGATACGTATTGTATTGTGCGGCAAATCGATCACATGAGAAATATAGTAATTCAATTAATGAACATGTTATTACAGGTACAATGGAAAATCTATCATAGTTATTGATATACATGACAAGAAAGTAAATTGTTGATAAAGATGCACAAAAAAAATATAATTATATATTCAGCGAGAATAAAGGATACTTTGCAAAAGTAGAGAACAAACTAGTGGAATAGTTCCTTTACTAAACACAATATTTGAAAAATGAGAATAAATTGACTCCATAATAAATATAATTATATGATATTCAAATGTATAGACATAGGCATTTTGGCGTTTCGTAACTCAATCCAAGTCATTTCTTCAGGGTAACTAATTAAATTGACTTCGTTTTCTAAAATTCTACAGCAGAGATTTATTCACAAAAATTGAAAATTATTTCAGCAAATAATCAATCAGCAAAACTCGGTTGATTAGCTCCTAATTTATGTCAATCAATCCTATATTTAGCCATCTGTTTGCGAATTATTGTTTATTTTGTGTAAGACGATGCAGAGTATACCATTAGATTACAAAAAACGAAATGTAAAAAGTCGATTAATGATTATACTCTAAATACAATACAGTGAAGAAATATGTCAATAAACAGATCACTATTTCAAATGACTTAAAATATGAAAACAATTTTGAAAACTTTAAAACCTTGATATGTAGACCATTGATTTAACATACTTGCCAAATACCAAACACAGTGAGATGCCAATGTTATCTCATTAACCAATTGATAAAACGTCGAAAACCAGAAATCTAAATTTTTGTTTCATAAAACACATTCTATTATGTAACATAAATAAGTTCTTTACGAAATCTAAAACTAATTCACTCTATCTCGTAAGTTAAGGTTTTTAAAAAAAAATTTAATCTATCTGATCTACTAAATACAAATACTTATTTAATTGGTTTGCAGCAATATTTTTGCTGTTATTGATAGTATTGGTTTAACCAAACCGAATTACTTGGAGTGGGTTTTAAGCCTACAAATTAGCGATTAAAAGTCAAGTAAGTTTCATTTGAAGACATACAAACCTTATACTTATCATTGGGGTAAACATGTACATGGATATTGATTTTACCAGAGAGACTTTGAGAGTCTTAAGAACGAGTATTGACTTTTGTAGCACCGAATTCATAATAACTCGGAGTACAACTAGAAGTTTGATAAAATATTTCACCGTTAAATCCAGTCCCATGGTAGCCGGTGACCGACGATTGATTCATACGCCATTTCTTCTTTCAGGATACTGGAGCCCATGTACACCACTGGTTTGGAATCAGGGTTTTCCAACTCCCCTTGGTGGACTCTCCGTGTCCACCAACTCGGTTAAGGCGCTAGACATCCGGTTTTCGTTCTCTCAGTTCCGTAAACAACACCCGAGGTGCGAGAAGGCAGTGAGTAGGACTCTCCTGGCAGAGGCTATATACGCGTGTCCATGTGAGAGCATTTCGAGAGGGAGAGTCGACTCTCCCCACTCTCGTCCATACCAGGGTATTTGAGGGCAGTTATATACTAATATTCAAGTATCGGCTTAGTTATATAACTGTAAGGGGGTCTTTTATTTATTCATTGATGGTAATTAATTGTTAATGAAAAGACGGGCAAAAAAACCGTTTAGTAAGTTGTAGTTAAATGTCATCTTTGCTTGGTATTTTGAAAATTATTCATGTTTACTATTGATTGTTTTTCTAATAATTATGTACACAGACTTTGCTATCAGTCAATTTATCAACCGATCCTAAAATGTGGCTAAGTTAAAATGATCAATTATATATTATCATGATAAATACTACTTAAACATATGCCAAAGTTGTGATATTACGTTGTTTGATGAATAATAACTAAGTTTGTATTTTATCATATTGCTGTGAAAAATAATGGTGTCCATTTCATTTATAATATTCCTTTTCCGTTTTTATCAACCAAAAAAAAATAGGGAAGCGTTCAATGTTTCATTCAATCGTGAACATTAACAATATAATATGCAGGGATACTATAACAGTAATTGAATCTTGCCTTTAAATAACATAAAGTTACAATAAAACATTGATTAATAAGTGAGGTTTCTCTCATTAAAATAACCAAGATTACATACAATTGATTATATTGCAAGAGTTTCAATCATTTATTCTTTCTAGTGATACAATCGTACACAGATACACAGACAATAAATTAAACATTCCAGATAAATGTGTACATGAATTTAAACATTATTAAAATTAAACAAACAGAATTCAATATTAATTTCATAAATTTAATATATAAACAATAAAGTGATAAAAAGATGATAGTGTATCATCCAATTAACTAAAATAAAGGATATAAATAAAGCAGTAAATCGATGTAACACAACTCAATATGGCGAATTAAATATCAACGTGATAAATGAATCACAGTTCGATGGAGAATGCTAGTTGGCAGCCTGTGTTCTTCCAAGAGGAGTAACAGGTATAAATGAGTGATAAATGAATAACTCAAGGTGAAAATGACGCAAAGGATTAAGAATTAAAATGATTAGACGCAGACAACAATGAACAATTGAAAATTCATGAAGGAAAGTAGCCTATAATTACTAGATTTGTTAAGGGATATACAAATTTTATGATGAAATAGGATATAAAGCGGACAATGAGCGCTGGAATGAATAGAAGGACAAAAGCAATAAAAATGAAGTCGATCTGATAATGAAAGACAGCAAATAAAGAAAATAATTACGCTTTGTTGATAGTTATTTCAGTTTGTAAAAGAAATGTATTACAGAAATGGGATGATTTTTCTGAAATCACATCCACATATGGAATATAGTAAAATAATTGTAAACATTATCAAAATGGAATTAACACCAACGGAAAAACATCACAGTTGACATAGAAACAATTAGTTATGATAAAATACAACAAGTTTACCGTAAATAATCATAAAAAATTCAAAATAATCATTGCCATTTGAATTCATTTCAATAATACATTTGTAAGAAGTATTAATAGCAATAGTACGTTTTATAAATGCAGTAATCATGAAATACATCATTTTAAAACTGGGAAAAAAACAGAAAAAAACATAAGTTAGAAACAGTAAAATCTGGAGAACATTTTCTCAAACCACAATTGTCTTCCCTTTAATTGAGAGATTTTCGAAAATTCTTCTAAGAAGAACCCAAGAGATTGTGTATGGTCAATTTTAGTATCATTGAAGTAGATAATGACCTAAACAAGTAAGAAAATTGAATATCGGAAAAAATCTGTTGAACAATTCAATAAGAAATCTAATCAATCGATTAAGAAATTGTTAAAAATTAATGAACCAGACAGTTTTGATTGAGATTACGAATCGATCAATGTTAGGCCATCACTGAAAACCTGGAAGTACTGGATGGTCATTTAGTTCTAGAATGGGGGACTCCTCAACAGTACACATCCACAAACCCGCACATAGTAGAAGTCCCATGCTAGGACGAAACGGCTGTCCAGTGCTTCCAGGTTTTTAGTGGTGGCCTAAGATTGATCGATTCGTGATTTCAATCAAAACTCAATATCCACAACCCTGCATCGATAACTAGACAATTGTTATGCATTGAGGTTGTATACTTGTTCATACATGCGATTCTTTACTGTTTAAAATTATACACTTATAAAGCTGAATATGACAACTTAATTATGAATCGCTTTATAAGTCAGTCATCTATGAATGTACACAATGATGCAAGAAAAGCATGATCCATTATCTTTGAAACAAAACTTAGAAACTACGTGATAAATTTATTTTCCAGTTTTTTCTAACTATTCATTTATGATATTCAGTAAAATTTATGTTTGAGGATGTTAAAGGTAAAACCAATTAATTGATTCAATGTTCAGATTACGACTAATGAATTTGATTACATCTTAAATGATTTACCCACATGATATGAAAATCATGAAAAATAAAGGAGTACGCTACCCTTTTATCAGGAAGGCAACTATATTGAAGTAATGATAACTTGGTATAAGCGGTAAGTCAGCACTTATAACACTCAGATTTTAGTCGAACTCAGACATTCTTTGATAATACCTTGAATTTAGACTGCCAGATAATATCGCTGACCATTAGTAAGAGAAAAATGTACTTCACAGGTGAATAAACTCCTCTGTATTAGGTAAAATCAGTTAGATTATCTCAAGAGTATGTAGCGGTTCATATTGCTACATTTCACATCAGAACAATTAGTGAAAATATCAAATTTGGTGGATCAGTTGATATGACGAATAGAGAATTCGAAATAAAGTTTTAAAAATGAGGAATAATATATATTGACCATTTAGACAAAGATATAATGAATATATTTATTTTACTGAGATCACATTTTAGTCACACAAAGTATTCAACTATAAATGTCGATTTGTTTAGCGAACCTCAAACAAAAAATCTGTTTAACAACTCTGAAGGGCTCAACTGAACGGTCAATATTATTACTAGGCAAGAATATTTAAAATATTATGAAGACTGAAATGGTTAATATTGAAGACAAGTTAGTCATAAAACCTGATCATGGGACTAAGAATTGTTTCGCATTGATTATCTTGCCTGACTTGTCAGATTTGTCATAAAACACTCTATCCTGGTTAACATCACTTTATGTCAGATGGTTGAAGGAATTTTATAAAATTCATTTATTTGACTTAATCACCTCCACATCAACAAAGAGCCTTGTCATACACCAATAACAAGCAACAAATATCAAACTGCTGAATACAGTAGTATTCCCAAACCCTTTAGTATAGGATATAAAATTTTCGGTATGTGAACAACTCATCGCTCGGATGATAAAGAAAAAAGGTTATTTGCTGAACAGGTTTTTATGAAAGCTTTTTTTGACCGACATGAAGATCCGAATTCAACACTCCACTTCTGAATAATGAAGGCTACAATTTTTTCGAGGATCAAACAAACTTGATCATCAGTTGCAATATGGATAAACATTGTACTTTGATAAATCAGTTTTTAGGAAACATTTTGATGTAGATAAAAATGAAATAAAGTACTGTTTATTTAGCATATTTCTATATGAGTGAAATATAATTATGGAGTGTACAAATGACAAACTAATTATTTGTTTTGATTTTACCTTATACCTTGCAAAAACGTCACATGCATGTAAGAATGAATATAAACAAACTTAATGTCTCAGTAATTATGTGTCACGTGAATGAAGTTCCAGGCATACTTGCTAGCATTCAACAAGTGATGTAGTACGGATAATTGGAAAAAAGCGGAGGAATCAATAAAATAGACTAATGACTTAGTTTATTATAATTTGCGTTTATAAAGAATTAAAAACAATGTGCGAGCAACGGTGGTTTAGGAGTTAAGACACTATCGACTAATAATAACTACATTATGGGGTCGAAACCAGTCCAAATTTATTCAGTTAGGAATCCCAGGTAGTATCACTGGTGGCCAATAGACGAGTATATGAACCATGTGGTTAATCACAAAGTTATATTAGTATTCTTAATTTATAACGCTGTATGCTTATATGCTACACTTCTGATTAACAACATTTTCGATATGCTGAACAACTCCCACAGTCACACACTAACTCAAAGGAAGTATGGGAGACGGATTATTAGTAAGCTAACTATTCAAATCTCACATGTTGCCGTCAGTGTGACAAGCAATGGATATGTAACAGACGTAAACATTAGGACTAGGACTTCGACATTAAGCTTTCTACACTGGTGTGACTTTACCTTATACATAGGTGGATTTGTCAAGTGTGGAATAGCCACAGTATTTTTAACATAAATCAGTTGCTGAAACAGAATTATATACTAGGTTCCGAGCAATTAGCTATTAGCACGAGGACCTGTAATAACTAGCCGACTACTTAAACTAGGTTTCAGTTAAAAAGCTAGGTGTTTTGATCATTCCGCCAGTGACGTTTTGCACAGATTTAATAAATGAACACGAAGGCAAATAGATATGAGTAGAAAAAAATATTTGATAGCTTACCATGAACATGTGTATATAATTCTGCATAAATATATATAATTGGAGGAGGAGTTATTGACTTAATTTCGATAAAAGACTTTCGAAACTAAAACCAGGAACACAAAAAGCATAAAAAACGAGGATTAGAAGCAAGCCAGAATTAAATTATTGAAGCACCTGGGCAAAACAAAGTTCTACCGATTAGTTGACTAACGAGCGATCCAGTAAAAGCCGTTTTCGGTAGGAAATCACGGTTTTCAACAGTTTTTGAGCAATTTATTTCACAGATAGAAACAGACCAGCGTCAGGATAACAGGTTTACCTTTACAAGAAAGATTTTCTTCTACAGTATCGGATTGCTAGTCCCATCATCAACTCTCCTCATTCATCAGAAATAAAAAAACATCAACAACACTAAAACAGTTACAGTTAGAGGAGTACCCACATCACTAGTCCATGTGATTATATGCTTAGCATCAATCTTACACTCTCAGTGGTCTTAGGTCATGGGTACAAATAATCATTCGGTGGCAATTATAGTTTCATGAACACAACGAATCCCACCAACTTTCATAGGTCATGACATGTATGAACAACAGACTGATTACTGTTGTCTGTCACAATTCATTAAAACAACTATAAATATAATAAAAATAGTACAATTGTAATATATTATTATATTGTTTCGATTAATAAAAATCTACCCAATACTCAGTTTATTTAAATTTATCAAGTCAAATCTCGGTTATGATACCAAATATAAACATCGTTATGGAATCAAGACTGGAATAATGTGTTTTACATAAGCATCAGACTAATTAATACATCATAATAATAAGCTGTTCTAACAAGAATAATTCATCAATGCAATCCATACTTATAGTGCCAATAAAAATAATATTCATTAGTGATCATTAGTTGTTGAAGGTCATACATTCTAACATGTATCGTTAATACTAATACATACATTTAATAACTTAGGTAATAAAACAACCAACAATTGTATGTTGCATGAAAATATCGTTATAACAATATTAGGTTGCAATGACGTAATAATCAATATACATTATGTAATGAGTAGATGACTTCTAACAGAAAACAGCACAATTGAAGAGTTAAATAAACACATAATTCAATAAGACATTCATACAAAAAGTAGAAGGTAGTTGATCAACCAATGAAAGACAGGGAAGTATTCAATTAGTTATTTAGATAAAGAGACTGGATATCAACTGAGTGTTTTCACTTCTATATCGAAGGAGAATAGGGATATACTATTCCTTAGTGAGTTAACTTCTCTGATATATAAATCTCATTGTTATTATGAAGGCTAATGGAAATAATTCTAGAGTTTTAAAATGCGATTTGCATTTATCTCTATTGCAGGCAGTCGGTTGCTCCTATAGAAAAATAATAGATACAAAGCAATATAGTAAAACGTACAATTTTTTGACGCCTAAATTTGGTCTGAAAGTTCCATAGAGTTTCTCATCCGGTTCGCGATTAATAGGACCTTGTACAGGAGGATCTTCATCCCTTGTAAACAAAAAGTTGAAAATATCATCAGTCACACAAATATTTTTGTTGTAGTAATACTCATAGTAAACAACATGCGGAATAAAAATGATTCAAAAAGTTCTTATTAATACCAATGTCTCATAAGAAAGTTGAGTACATTAACAAAGTAATCAGTTAGGTGTTAGATAAGTAAGTATGGTTAGATATAATAATCCAGCTAGAAGTATTTGTGTTCCATTTTAACAAACATATGTGTTTATCAAGTAAAAATTTACTAATACTTATATTTAGTTTCTAGGTGATTTTCACCACGCATCGATGTCATCAGGTGAACAATAGAAAATCAAGGTGTATTGGAAACCAGTCTCAACCTCCTCAGCAGTGCATACCCACAATTCTACCTGAACAGAATGGAAACCTAAGACTCAAAAAGTTCTAAATTCAATATCAAACTAGGTTCATTACTAAGAAGTCCCCAAAAATGTCTCAACATGATTTTGAAGCATCCCTCAACTGATGTCAGTTCGTAACAAAAGTTAAGTCGAAGATAAAAAAACAACATTTTATTAGAACAGTATATTCACTCATATCGTTACTCGTAAATACATCGGTAATAATTAGATAATAAAATCGAATGATACTAAGAATCGTATTGCATCATCAGTAAATAGTTGTGCGTTATGTATAATTCATCCATTAAATGTTGCATTAATCATATGAATAACTCTGAAATTAAATTCATGTATCATAGTAAATCGATGATGATGATTATTGCCTAATTAGATAATATCATCTATGAAAATATACAGTATTTAATAAATGTTACCAATTTTGACTAAATTACATTTAGTTAATCAAACTTATTACAATTTTTAAAATTGTAATAATTCCTTAGAACAATTTCTTTTAATATTTAACTATATACAAAGTTATAACTTCAAATACTGTTTAAAAAAAGTTTATATTCTGTAGGTAGAATATTCATTGTTATATTCCTAGAACTTTACAATAAAATGGAAAACAATGCAATAAAGGTTCGACTTATACACTTGTATGACATTATTTAATTAAACGAAATAAGTGAGAGATTGGAAAATTCAAGTATGTCTTATTGCATGATTTGAATTCATAATTTTAAATATATGAACAATAATGTGATGGTTTATATTTGTCAAATATATAAAGAGTACCGTAAGACAATCCGTAGAAATTTTCCATAAAACAAATTGAAAAAGACTGGATATTAAACATATAAAGGTTGTAAGATGAAAGATTTTAATTAGATAGTGAACTTAAAAACGAATCTTCAATGTAGACATTTCTCACAAGTAACTAGTACTACAAATACGTGTGTGAAAAAGTTTTCTTTAGAGGTCAGCTAATCCTTACATCTTAAATCTGTCCATAAATAACATTATCAATGAGCGATAAATTGAAAATGATAGTTATTAACGAAAACGCTAGATATGGGTGATGATTAATCATTTAGGCCATATGGTAGCATATATGTAAAAGGTTTGAGTGGTAGAGCAGAAAGTCTTTAACAACCGACCACTTTCACTCTGGATGGGAATTATTTACATACTAACCTAGCCATTAAGAAATGAATCGGCCAATGTTAGAGTACCATTGAAAACCTGAAGTCACTGGACGGTCGTTTCATCCTAGTATGGGACTCTTCAGTAGTGCACAGCCACGGTCCCGCACGCGGAAGTCGAATACAGGACCTTAAGTCTCGCTTGCGAACACTTAACTTTTAAACCACTGAGCAAGCAACCAGCGATGTTCATGTCTGACTTCAACCAATCCATGAAATCGCGCGACAATTTTCTATTGTCTTCGGTGGATAAATGCCTCACATCTGACACGGATTAGCTCCAATTGTCACGCTTTCTCACTAGAACCTTGAAAATTACCTCTTGAAGTTAGTCATTAGTGAGCACATGGTAATTATCAATAAAGGGTTGTGGAGAATATTGATTTTTTGATTGAGATCATAAACCGATCATGAATTTGCTGAAGTTAGACATTAACATCGTTGGATGCCACCTCAGTGATCTAGAGGTTAAGCGTTCGCGCGCGAGACAGAAGTCCTGAGTTCGAATCCCGCCTGCAGGATCGTGGATACGCACTGCTGAGGGGTCCCGTACTAGAGCGAAACGGCTGTTCAGTGCTTCCAGATTTCCAATGGTGATCTAACATTGATAGATTCATGATCACAATAAAAAACTCAAACTCCACAACCCCGTATTGACACTAAGGAATGATTGAATGCATAGACTTCGTGTTTCGGAACAGTTATCATAGGGTTTTCTACCCTGCATCTTTTATTATACTCATTAAAATCCTAAATCAGAGGAATATTAAACACTTTCCAATGTAATTCTCTAACAAAACAGTGTTATTCATAAGCAGAATGGTAATCCATAGTAAAAATTGGATGTTGCAATCACTAATCCCTTGTAGAATTTTATCACTTCATGTCAGTTTTTATCACAAGATGAAATCAATTAATCAACCACTGAATCCATTTTAGAATTCTTCAGGAGAGTGAAGACATGAAATCAAACACAGGATGTTCATTGCTTAAGGAGGGTACAAACACTGATTGATTTGGAACCCGATGGACTAAATTTGTGATATCTCTTACTCATTACCTTCGATCAAAGCATCCTGCTGGATCTTCGGAGAAATCACTTCGAAGATACTAATGAGAGAACACTTTTTTCCCAAAAAATATCGATAATTTCACATTATGTTTATCACGTTCACCAAAAAAGTCTTATATGTATTAAAAAACAAGACATTTCTACTACAACTACTGTAACGATAACATGTTTTGAATATTAATTCAAATTAAATTAATATCAAAAAATATAATTTGATGTCAATAGAGTGTGAAAAAGAAGAAAAGTCTTGAGAGAGGAAAAGACAGAAATCTGAATAGCCAGGATCAGAATCCACTCTAGTGATAACTTTTTCCGTAGTCATCTTTCACACATGATGTATTGTGGTGTGTGCTACTGACGTCGACAGATATAAGTAGTGTGTGTCATCAATCGAAAGTGAAGTGTCTGGTGGCAGAAGGTTAAGAAGATCAAAGGAAAGAGAAAGAGAACATTGAATTATTGCTGTGGAAATGAATGAACAGTGAAGTCTGAGACGATTGATTAACATTTGTAAAAGGAACAGTCAAGTTTGAGACAATTGATTGACATTTTGCAAATGAAGTATTTACTGTATGGTTCTTAGATTTTACTAAGATGTTCTGTAATTTTGTGCTCAAATACATTCCGTTGTTCCCGCTTGTGTTCTTCGCTTACTACAGTATATTGTAATTCAAATGAGAATCTTTAAAAAATCCATTTTAGAGAGATTAATACTCAAACCAAGCTTGATTTGTAGTTCAATTGTGAACTGCCTTGTTTAACAAATACAATAAACACCATGCATACAAACATGAGGATAAAAAAAGGTTTAATGAAGCGTAAAAAAAACTACAAAATAATATGTATCAGTTGACAGAATTCATATTAATACTACAAGAGAAACGAAACAATTAACAAACGATATCATTAATTAAAACAAATAATAGGATTCACTCTATATTGTTTTTACTTGAATCTTCCCATTGATGTTTTAGGACTGAAATTGATCAGCCTCTTATTGGCATATGTGCATACTGTGCGTATGCCTCTATATTGCCTTAATTTACAAGCATTATAAGCAAAGATGGATAGTGGCTAGCAGTGGAATCCAGGACGCGCGTTTCGTCCTGTTTGGGACTTGTCAGCTGGATGTACCTGGATCTCAAAGTTGATGTTCACTCTGGGACTCGAACTCAGTACCGTTCGCTTCAAACGCCATCGCGTTATCCACTTAGCTACTGAGTCCTGATAGCCACTTGCTTGTGCAGTGGGGTGCACATATGCCAATAAGAAACTGATCAATTTCAGTCCTAAAACATCAATGGGAAAATTCAAGTAAAAACAATATCAAGTGAATTAAACTTCACCCGATTGCACAAGCAAGTGGCTATCAGGACTCAGTAGCTAAGTGGATAACGCGATGTCGTTTGAAGCGAACGGTACTGAGTTCGAGTCCCAGAGTGAACATCAACTCTGAGATGCAGGTACATCCAGCTGACAAGTCCCAAACAGGACGAAACGCGCGTCCTGGATTCCACTGCTAGCCACTATCCATCTTTGCTTATAAATAATAGGATGATAGGAATTGAGAAAAAATGTTTACTGAATAAAAAAGATACATAAATAAACAAAATTTATGAGATTGACGTTAAAAAAATTATGAATATTTATTAGTTTTTAAAAAATCGTTAATAACCCATAGTTTATTATGATAAAAGTGTACAGCAATACTAAGATTATCTGATATTGATGAAAACTCGATGATAGCTAATTCATCTGACCGTTTGTCCATAAGCTGTTCATTTTGCTATGGCTTAGCTGATGTCAGTTCGGACTAGTCATAGTAGTTTCCTCTTCTTTGAGTATATCTTTTCAGACTTAGAACCTATGGATGGGCACCATCTTCGATCCATAGTTTATGGGTATCTCAAAAGAAAGATGTATTGAATCTTTCTAAAGTTGTTTCTTCAGTTCTTCAATCTTTCTTTAGCTTTACACTAATCTTAGCGACAACAACGTGGTGATATGAAGCTATGTCAGTTCCTCTCTTTGTTCTCATGTCTTCCAGTGGTATTCTGCATTTTTCAGTGATGCAAATATGATCGATCTGGTTCTCTGTGGTACGATACGGTGAAATTCATATAGTTTTGTATATCTTCATACCCGGTGTTGTCAATTCTGACTTTGGTGTTTAAGTCTTCCATCAAAATGATCAAGTCCTTTCCTGGACACTTCTCTTCGATCAAATACAGTTTCTCATAAAACTGATTTTCGTCGTCCTCGTTCATAATATTGGTGGGTGTATAACACTGAATAACATTCATTGTAATTCCCTCCTTCTTTGTTTTGAAGAATAATTTGATGATTCTGGATCCATGAAATTCCCATTCTACAAGTGCTTTTCTTGCTTCCTTGAACAGAATCAGAACAACTATTTACATATGTGGAGCATTTTCCTCTTCGTGAACAAAGCACAACAGCATCTTTTCCGAATACAATCTTTTTCGTTTAGCTTCGGTTCAATGGGTTTCACTGATTCTGAGAATCGTAAAGTTGCACCTCCTTATTTCCGCAATTATTCGACTTGTACTCCGAGTCTCCCACATTGTATGGACATTCCATTTATCTATGTTAATTGTTGCTTTCGATGACAGAGGGGACATCAGTCTCGTGAGTTCCGAAGAATCTCAGCTTTTAACATGAGGCGTCACACCTCTTTTGAACGAAGACATTTCAACTCACAAAATACCGTTTCAATGATTTCAATTACTTTTAGTGGCTAGCTTTTCAAGAAAGATTTTCTTCTACAGTATCGGATTGCTAGTCCCATCATCAACTCTCCTCATTCATCAGAAATAAAAAACATCAACAACACTAAAACAGTTACAGTTAGAGGAGTACCCACATCACTAGTCCATGTGATTATATGCTTAGCATCAATCTTACACTCTCGGTGGTCTTAGGTCATGGGTACAAATAATCATTCGGTGGCAATTATAGTTTCATGAACACAACGAATCCCACCAACTTTCATAGGTCATGACATGTATGAACAACAGACTGATTACTGTTGTCTGTCACAATTCATTAAAACAACTATAAATATAATAAAAATAGTACAATTGTAATATATTATTATATTGTTTCGATTAATAAAAATCTACCCAAAACTCAGTTTATTTAAATTTATCAAGTCAAATCTCGGTTATGATACCAAATATAAACATCGTTATGGAATTAAGACTGGAATAATGTGTTTTACATAAGCATCAGACTGAATAATAAATCATCAATACAATCCATACTTATAGTGCCAATAAAAATAATATTCATCAATGATCACAATTTTCTGAAGCTCGTACGCATCCATAAATGAGATATGGAAATCTGCATTAAACGATTACAGTAATGATAACATGCTTATCATTTCGGAATTTTACTCTTATTATTAAAACAATTTTGAATAAGCAAACTCAGTTTGAAAGAGTAAAACCAACATACAATGTCATTCGAAATTTAAAACATCCAGTTCTCACGTTCACATACAAAATACCATTATCGTATCATGGGACAACTACCTACATTATTTTCAAATGTGAATTGAGCATTCAATGTTACGCAAAAAGTGCAGTGTTAAAGTATGGTTAGGTACCAAAATGGATGATAGCCCAATTGTTCATAAGGCAGTAAGGAACAGTAATAGAAAACAAATTGCAAAAGCTCACAATGCGGTCAGTTCACACCACAGCACACAAATTCAAAGTGATTTTATCAAATCACTGATTGGTAAAATTAGTTTGAACTTGTAACGTTAAAATTATAGTATAAGGACGAGCTTAAAACAGCCAAGACGAATTTTAGTCAGTTGTGAAATAGTCGAAAAATAGCTTTTATACATGAATGGTTTGTGGTAAATAAGCAATAGATGATAAAATAGATAAACAGATTTTACATAATTATCGAACCTATTGGAGTTTTCTACAAATTATCTTGTCTATAAATCCAAAAAAACAATGACATTGAAATTCTTCCAAATAGATATAGATTATCCGTCTTCTCAGACCATTATAAAGATGCAAACAGATTTCTAAGAGTCCGTACATTGTTGCTGGTTAAGGTTAGGTCACAATTAAGGATTTAGAGTTGGAATTATATATAAGCCATTCGTTTTGAATTTAACACAAAAATTCAAACGTCTTTTATTCTAATTGGATCATATCTATACGATAGCTTTACCCTTGTAAAAATCAATATTTTGAAATTTTAATATTATAGACGATAACCATTCGACGACGTAAAATTAAGTGAACACAAGCACTTCAGTACGTCTCGTATATGATACAGTGAATTACAAATTCTCCATTTACACCGATGGTAAACACGTCAATTGAAAGTTGAAACTCGAGTAATCAAGCTTTTCGTGTTTCGCATATACATCTAAAAATAGATTTACTAACCCTTTTGCTCATACATCCAGGGAGTTGTGATATATTAACAGATGACAGAACGACACAAGTTGTTTGATAAATGCCCATTCCAACCCAACCCATTAGGTCATAACTCAAAAGCCTTACTATTACTTTTTAAAAAAAAGAGCTAGACAGTACGAAAAATTGAATCACACAATAACCATAATATAAAACATATGTCAAATAAGAATGGGACGAAGATAGATTTTATTGATCTCAAAGAGACATCTCACTACACATATTCATAACAGACAGCAAAATTGCAGTTGGATCGAGACTAGTTTGTTATTTGAACCAAGACTAATGATATATTAATGTAGTAAGTTGTACATTCTCTACGAATCCATCGATAAAGTAGTGGTATACTGACACCAAAACTAGATTCTATTTGGTGATCGATCTGTTATAAAAAAACTAACCCCTTCCCCATACTTCCTATCCAGTTCCAATATCAGCAAGTGATGATCAGTAAGAAAGCCGTTAGTGACAACATGTGTAAGATGTGATCAGAGTATTGAAGCCGGTAGTATTTTAAGATGTCACCATCACTGATTAGAACATGATCTTCACACTATGCCTAGACGAGTTGATAGATTAGTAGTGTAGAAATATATATGAAACCTAGAGAGGTAATTATAAGTCCGAAGCTTTAAAATTGGTTAAGTTAGTACCACACTGAAAATAGATTAGTGGAAGCATAACTTACCACCGTTTGACAGAGTGAGATGTAGATTTTCTGATGAATGAAGCATATTCATATAAAGAGATGAGTTATTCATGATAGATTAATTAATCAATCAAAGTAAGGTTCTCTGAAGAAATGTTGTTTATTCATTTTTTGAGTGTCAAGCACTTGTTATTATATCTAATCGTACCTATAAAGGTTAAAAATTACAACTACACCAGTGGTGATGATTCGCAAACTAAGAAATCACATTATATACGCCGGAAAATGACCGGAATTTCTGTGTATTGATACTTATTATTTTCTATTAGTTGCAGATTTCACCGAAGATCACACAGTACACTTTATATTACTGCATGACCTTTACCAAAAGCGAGATTTCTTCTCATATATGAAAATTATATGAAACATGTAGTAATTCAGTGAGGATTAGAGTGGATAAAGGATATTATATCAACCGGTATGATATGGTTTTCTAATTATCACTGAGGTGAGATTCGAGAATATGTAGGCTACTCATAGACCTGAGGAGCCAAAACAGTAGTCAATGTTAACACGAAAATCGACTGTAATTTGGACAACATAAAGTTGAGTTAGACTAACTAAAGTATTTGTTAATTGTGTGAGAATCAGAAACGATCCTTTTCTATTGAACTGAAAACAAGTACAGTGATAGCATGGTGGTCAAAGAACTTGAATCCCAACTAGTAAGATATAAGCTTAAACCCTGTTTCGCCTACTTCAGTTTGTGCAATCAAATAGTAACATTGGCACTTATACAAACTATTTACCTCAAAGTCAAGTACACAAAAATTTACTTCACAAATCCGTTATACTAAAGTAAAAAAACACCGTAAATTATATTGAGAATCTTTCTACATCAACCACACAAAAGAATGAATTTATGGAATCTCCAAAGTTTTTAAATAAATAATTATTCAACGCAGGACAAATGAATACAAACAGACCTTGGAATGTAACAGAAATCATAGATATATTTCAAAAACGCCTTTATTACTTAGTCAGTTTCTTTCCTACAAAAGTTCCACTATTAGTCAATTCAGTTTAGTAATAACTACTACAAATTATAAGTAATATATATAGTACACTTTAAAAATGTTACATTGAAGTGTTTTATTTTGTTCTCGAAAAAAGGGGAGACAACACAAACGTTTTAATATAAACTGAGTAAGAATTGTGCGACCAAACTATACATTTTTATTTTCATACTTATGATGAAACATAATATAACTGGATTTAAAGTGATACTTGCCGACAAGTGGACATAATAGTTGCACCGAAAACAAATAATTGAAAGATATCGAACACTGTGAAAGCAAAAGAGAGATTTAACAACTTAATATTTATGTTACAAATCGTGCAATTTTCAAAGATATAATCGATTTCAGATCGTATAAAGTATTGAAATATGGTTTTCGAATGTGATTTAAATTACTCAGCTAGGATCTTCTAAGTATACAACTAGTAATCAGATGTTTTTAACAATAATGGTGATAATAATAATAATACATGATAACGTACCCAGCTCTTTTATAAACTGATAGTTCTTCTTCAACCTCAATCAGACGTGTTTTTAATTCATTACGTTCGATTAAAACATTTCTAAGTTCTTGAAGGGTGAAATGAGGACGATTTGGATTACGACCATCAATAATCATTTTGCCTTCAGCATTAAGTCGTTTAACTAATTGTTCCTCTGTTAACTGTGGAGGCTGTTTAGAAGCAAATAAAGCACTTCATATTAGGCACGCACACAAAGAAAAAAACAATTTGAGCAAAATAGATAAAAAGGGGTTTGCGTTTAATGGTTTTAAATCTTGTTCAATTATTACGCAACCCATCTTACCAGTTTTTTTAATCCCAGGATTCTTGTGCAAACCTTTCATTACCTCTAAAATTACCGCACAATTTATTTTATGTCCCTGAACTCCACTCAATTATCACATCACCCATCTCCATGTTTTTTCATTCTAACACCAAATGACCTGCGACCTGTTCTTGCACACACATATATAGTTATCATTGATAACCATTGTCATTCCAATTCTTTACATTCATTTACGTCAATTGTTTCACGCCATATCTTACCCCAATGTAAATTTTAACACATATTGTGTTGTAAGCAGCTGATGAGAAACTACGGAATATAATGAATTCATATTATTCTGCATTTATGTTTGTTCTGGCTTTGTCTAAACTCAAAAAAATTTGTCTGTTAAGTTAATGTGGTGAATTTCATATGAAAACAATTTTATGATGATATTTTTGGTGAAAGATGGAAATTCAGCTGTAATGTGTTGCTTTCGAAACTCATCAGTTGGATGAGCGCTATAATCCCATCCGGAGCAAAACCGAACACTTATCACTTGAAATACTAAGAATGTTGATTAATAGATTACTACTGAATAAAGCTAATATCAGCGATGTTACTTTTTCTAATTCAAAGATTGTCTAACATCATTTTTTCTACCAGAAAATAGAATAGAATAATTCTCAGGAGAAAATTAATGAGGATTTTTAGGTGTATTTGTAAAGTCGATTCTCTCTCTGGATAGGAAGATAGTAATTAATTTTAACAATTAATTATGATATGAACCACTTGTGAAAAACTATCAATTTAATATATCCGTAGGTAAGAATTGTATTAAATAAATAACTTCGTAGACTGTAAAAACTTAACTGACCCAGTATTTCTGTGGCAATTTAATATAGGTTGTTCACTAGAATTGTTAAAGACTAATTAACCGGTGATTATCAACTAAGATCAATATCGGATTATAACATTATGGCTGATAGTCTACCCTAAAGAAAACTTGTATATAGCTACTGCGTTACACATTTATAAAGCCGAGAAATTGGAGGAATGTGTAAACCGTTGAGTGACAGCTCAGTGGTCATGATAATAAGTGCTCGCCCCAAGGTTCTGGGTTTGCCCCCCGGTAGAATCATGGATGATCATCGCTGACGGCTTACATACTAAGACAGGACAGTTTCCCAGTGCTTCCTAGTTCTTAGTGGCTGTATAAACAGAGTTAACCTCAGTCAACGACCTTAGCAATGACAACACCCCATGATACAAATAAACAATTGATGAGATTAATGGGGAAATCAACACATATGTAGAAAGAGAGGTTAACGTACCGGAGTCTCTGGAGATATCAATTCAGCAATTAAGGATTTCGACATATCAATACAAATAGATGATTCGGTGTTATTGCTATTATTATTACTATGATGGATATGTTCTTCCATTTGTTTAATTTGCTGATCTTTTGTATTGAGTTGTGTCTCTAAAGTTAGCTTCTCTTCACGTAATTGATCCGCTTGTTGCTTACTCACAAAATGTTTACGACGTAATGATGCATTCAGTTTGGCTAAACGTGTGGCTTGTTGTTGCATCTGATAAGAGTTAAAAATAAACGAATATAAAGTGGTGAAAATTTGTGAAATAATGGACATATAAAAGAGTATACTAATGCATAAAGATAGAATTTTAATGAGGGACTGAAGAATTTGATGTGTTATTGGAAGTTTGAGAGGACCAGACTGATATTTATTTTATATTGGAGTTCCTTAGAGGCGAATTCTCTCTGATCTTATCGAAATTAAATTTGACTTTTAGATCTAGCAAAAATTTCGTTACTATTTAATTAGCTCATACACCTACACCATTCATTTCACACCTCATAATTAGCAGTTTCAAACTTCATTCACCTCTTTCTTTTAATTAGCACCACGGTCATTCAAAGCTGATAAGATGAAAATCAAAAAGGAATGTTTTAGAGACTGAAGCGAGTACATGAAGAGGACCTTGTTGAGAGAATAAAAGCTTCGAGCTTCCAGGTATGATGTAAGATTATTAGTACATGACTCGCACAAACTCGGATTTTATAATCAATCTAGCATTGAAACAGTAATGCACATGGATAAGTGTACACACATCTAAAATAACAGAACTCTATTTCGTCTTCATTTGCCCCCAAATGCCCTGGTACGGACGAGAGTGGGGAGAGTCCACTCTCCCTTTCGAAATGTTCTCACATCACCACGCGTATATAGCCTCAGCCAGGGGAGTCCTACTCACTGTCTTCTCGTGGCGGTGTTGTTTACGAAATTGAGAGGATGAAAAGAGAACGTCCGGCGCTTTAAACGAGTTGGAAAACCCTGATTCCAAACCAATGGTGCACATGGGCTCCAGGATCCTGAAGTGACAAATGGCGTATGAACCAATCGTCGGTCACCGGCTACCATGGGACTGCATTTCCTTACGATGCTCCACTGCCTTGTGGATCAGATATTTAGGTCGAAGGCTCTGGGTGTAGCCCCTTAAGAAAACCACCTGCTTCGGTTTGCGCACCCGGGCAGTATCACAGCCCTCACATAAATCAAATGAGATTTGTGTGGCACATATGTATCTGGTGCCCCCTTGTACCAGTATTTATGTGTTCAAATAAACAAATAAATAATAAATACTTCATTACCATTTACAGGAATCTACATGCGAAGATTTTTCATAAACTAATAATTGAGCATTATGATCAAGCGAGATCGTTTCTCAAAAATATTGTTTCTTATACTTTGATGATGTAAAAAACAGAATTCCGGACACCAATTATAAAATTATTACATAGGGTAAGTTTCACCATCTACGTAGAGCATGATGAAATAGTTGAAATGTTTTTGTTAGGTTGAATTCCAGGCAAATCACGTACTGGCTGAAGGTCGTGAGCTAGGTGAGAGTGTGGGCGTCATACTGTGAGTAAGAGAATCATTCACTTATCCAAACTCACCAAGTATCTTGCCTAGAATGGTATATATATATATATATATATATATATATATATATATATATATATATATATATATATATATATATATAGCTGGTTGGATCAATGTTAAGAAGCATGTAATTGTGTATGAGTCTGACTGACAGATCGTAAGAATTCTTAAATACTCGTAACAATATCCTAGATATCTTCGAATATCATTGGTCTGATGGTAATGATTTAGTAAAAGCGTCCAGGGGCCAGGTGTGAAGCTTGGTCGAGTGATGATCTTGTGTTTAGTAATTGCTTAGTTTTATGAGTTTAAATCTTTTTTAAAGGTAGATCCCTCTAAGTTTAAAATCTTTGTTCGATCTTGAAAAATCACTTTAGCCTTTTCATTTCGTGTAAAACACCACACATAATTTACATCATGAAAACATTGGTGTACTTGTTAAATGAAATATCAACCAAATAACAAAAAATTAATGATTAAATCTTAGAATAAAAAGCATTAATTCATAAATTCATCAAGTGTGGTATGTTAAAACGATGCAGTGTTTGTGCATCCATTAGAAATCAAATACTATTTTGAATGAATTGGAATACAAACCTGTCATATATCATATATAAATTGATTAAACCAACTTATATTTAGTAAACAAAACCAAAGAAACTCAAGATACTCAACTGAGTTTATATTTGTGTGCCAAGACTTAAGAAATTCATTATAATATTTGACTGCTAGTGTGCACTGACTGTACTTATGAGGAAGATATTTGATACAAATTCTGCGGACTATACAAACCTAGTTCAAGCTCAAGATATACAGCAACAAAACAACTAATATAGACACGCACGCACAGCAAGAAGTTAAAGTGTAGTGTTTTGCAAGAGACCCTTTTTTATCGATATACAAGGTGATATTTATGTACGGCTAGTCTATAAATATACAGATGGTAATTATTTTCGGAAAACATGAGGCAAACAACATATTAAAGAATAAGGCAGTTCATTAAAGAAAAACGCAGATCATTGTAGAGAAAAGTTTCGGAGAGATTAAAGTAATTTCTAATAAATTTATAGATCAACTAAAACATCAACGACGACATAAAACTAGCAAATCATTATCCCAGTTCTAACTAAATATTTTGAGAACCAAAACATATAACTTGAAATATATATTTCTTTCTGGAGGCTAGAGAATTACTAGAAATAACAATACACGTAATTTAAAAACTAGTGAATTCCTTCCAACTTATTTGCTAGGTACTTGGTTTTGAGCCACACTGCAAACGTAAAAGAGCGTGTTAGTACACGGTTTCCAAGACTGAAGTAGGCGGAATATTGTTCTAACCTGCGACTTAGTGGCTAAGGGTCAGATGTCCTAACCATTGAGCCACCGTTCTATTTCGAAACTAATAAATAAAGGACTGGCAGTAATTAGTCATCAGATTAGTATTTTGATTGGCAAAATGAAATGTAATATCCTCTACAAGTTGGAGTAAAATGAGCAAATAAAAAATCATTTACAAAATGCTTATCAGCGTGTTGATAATGTTTAACATGAAAACAATCAGTTAGCAAAAAATAGAAAGGAAGGTGAATTTATATACAGATATGAAATCTGAATTATAAGGCTAACTTATTTAGTTTGTTGTTGAAGTAAAACAGTTTGGAATAACCAGTGGAAATTGAATTTTTATAAATAACTATAAAACAAATGAGAAATCTAGAAAAATGAAAAACAAAAATAGAAAATTTATGACCAAACATGAAATGAAAACAGTTAGACAACTACTGAAAACTGAAAGAGCACTTGTCAGTTAGTTATAAGTAACGTAAAACTTAGCAACTATTTGCATCGGTTCAAGTTCTTGTACCACAGCAATATACTGAGATGAAGTTACTAGGATAAATAACAGAATAGAAGAAGCAGTAACAATATCAGTCTTAGTAGAAGGAGTGCTGGACAAATGGATTCTAGTCATATGGATTAAAGTCAGGATCACTGGGTTTCACAATAAGCGCCTATATTTAACCGTTGAACAAGTGTCTGGCGACAGGTAAAACTTTCGCATGTTCTCTCAATGGTGTAATGAAAAAAATCCTTAAATCGAAGGAATCTCTAGGAATTATTAAATCCAACAAAAAACAAGAAAAGGTAGAAGTAGATGGATGAATAAAAATTATTTGAGATTAAGTTAGATAAAATGATAATTTTTTAAGAAAAGGCATGACAAAGATGTTTCATAAACAATACACGTATACACATAAAATGATGAGTGAAATGAAGAACAAGCATAGATCTGAAATGCAACACGGTTTACAATCTTTACATTGCGTAGTGTCTGTCGAATAAATATGTCAACTGAGGTTATAAAAACTACATTTTACAGAGTACATTGGTTCTAGCCCTTCGTCTTAAAATAATTTCCTTTTGTCCAAACCCACTTCACCTATCTTTGATGTCGTTAATCAACACTTACTTGGAAGCCCCCAGACGTTAGACCCTTCAACTCTCTTATCGTTTTTGTTTTAAAAAGACAACTCGTCCATATATATATGACATGTAGAGAATGAAATAATAGTGCATGGAACAGTATGACCACATTTCAATAGGCGGAATTCATTAAATTGATTCATCACATAAATAAACCGGAATCTATAACTACTAAGAAATAACTAGACCTACATGGAAAATTAAAATGTAGTGATTGTTTGAGACGCAATGAAAACAAAAGTTTACAAAGTATTGGAAATTTATATTAGAGAGGTTTAAGTTTGTGCACTCGCTCGTGAGTCATGTGTTATTCATATCATCTGTCTACTCAAACCAAAGTAAATGGGTGTACGGTTCAAATTTGGAATTCAGTGACTGACTACTAGAAATGGTACTTTAGCTACTGCTTTACCGATACAATAGATAACACTGATGTACAGCTATGATTGATGAGTAAACCTCCAACGGCGAATATATTTTTCAGTACATTTAGTAGTAGTCAGAATATAAAAATCGATTGTAAATAGGCATTTATCAATGAAGCGATTTGTCGATAAGTCAAATTATATCATTCGGAAAAATATATGTTATTTTCATTATAATAGTAACATTATTTAGACGGATAACTTCCTTAACTAATATGTTTACTATTACAACGTACATAAGCGCGGAAAACAAGTGGATAGAGTGAAAGAAAACAATTCAAAGTAAAAAAGAACACTAACAGAAAAAATCGACAGTTTTGTTATCATAAAACAGAAATCATTGCTAGTTTACAACGAATAGTGATTTATAAGTGTTATGTAAGGTGCTTCGAACAGTAATATATAAATTAGTTTTGTTTTGAACTACGGAGTCGATTAACACCCCTCAATATGATTCTAGAAAAACTTGCTAAACTTATTTTTAATAGCTCCAAAAGAGTACACCGATAAGAAAACAAGTGCATACCAAGCTACTCAAGAAAGGAAAAAGGTGAAGACAGAAGAAAAGAAAAAATTACTAAGACTAAAGCAATCAGAATATTGATCACTTTAAAAAAAGTTAGGCCAGTAGTGCTAGGGATTAAGTCATGCGTCGTTGATGGTTGTTTACCAAAATATGTTTTCTTATAACAAAAAAGCATCTACTACAATCTACTCATTATTACTGTGCGATAATGCCCAAGGCATGCAATCCGCACTTAATCAGTTGGCAATTAGTGTCCGTAGGTACGGTATGAGCTTTGCACCTTCGAAGTGTAAAGTACTTCTACAAGACTGGCAGGATTCTAATCCTGTACTCACTCTGGATGGTGAGCAGATAGAAGTAATCGAGAAGTTAGTGTATCTGGGTAGCTGCATAAATGTTGGTGGGGGTGTGAGTGATGAGATCAATGCACGTATAGTGAAAGCCAGAGTGGCTTATGCCAATCTGGGCCATCTTTGGCGCCTTCGTGATGTTAGTCTGGCTGTAAAAGGTCGGATCTGCAACGCGTCGGTGAGAGCAGTTCTGCTCTATGCTTGTGAAACCTGGCCTCTCCGAGTTGAGGATGTTAGACGACTCCCTGTGTTCGATCATCGTTGTCTCCGAAGGATTGCTGACATCCAGTGGCGACACCATGTTAGTAATGCAGAGGTTCAGCATCGTGTGTTCGGGCACAGAGACGAAAATACAATCGGTGTCAACATCTTGAAACACCGACTTCGGTGGCTTGGACATGTTCTACGAATGTCGTCCCACGTCGTGCATTATTTGCCGACGCTGGGACTGGCTGGAAAAAGCGGAGAGGTGGCCAGTATATGACATGGTGTCGTGGGATGAAAGAAAGCTGCAAAGGACTGGCTTCTGTTAGTCCTTCACGACTCCCTGGCTGGGGTTCGAGAGATGGTGCTACACAGCAGCTAGAGACGTTGTCAGATATGGCTCAGAATAGGGGTCAGAGTCGATCCTACTGTAACCTTCTTTTACTTTCTTCATAAAAAGCGGTTGTGTCTTCCTTAACTGAAAGATTTCTTCTGATTGTACCTTTCCGTTCCCCCATTTTTACCATTATTATTATTACACCACCTTACATCAATCTCTTCGTTATTATTCTCTCTTGTTTTTTCCTTCCCCTTAAATTCTCATTGTTTTGTGTGGCGCATATATATTTGGCGCATTCTTGTACCAATATTTATGTGTTCAAATAAATAAATAAATGAACTCATTATTTATAGACATTATTAAAACTAAACAGAGAATAATAATCGCGTAAGATAATTATTATTGAATTTAGAGTAGATAAAATAAAAAGGATCTTCGACTAGTTGCCATTATAAACAAAGTATAAAGAACGTATGACTTGGTACAAATGTATATGAAGCTTAATTAGTAAGTATTGTACTAGCATGAGAAGAAAACTTGAACCAAGGCTCGAAATGTTATTTTCAATAATAAAGAAAAGCCAGGCATGAAGAATGTATTTAGTTTGAAGAGAAATATTCAAACTGGACAGAGAAAATCACAAAATAATATTGAAACTTAGTATTCCAGAGAAGACATTGTCGAAGAAAAGAATACATTTGCACTACCATTATAAGTGGTTCAGATACATGTTGTCACCCGAGATCCATAATAATAACAGATCATGATTTAATTAGCTACCCATTTAATCTACAAGAAATTATTATTAGAATTTATCATCCTTGGTGTTAATTAAAGTCCTTGTTTGACAAATTTATATTCTATATTTGACTTCGGAATTTTATGATTCACGAAGAAACAAACTTCGTGACACGAGCATTCATTTACTACTCCAATATTATGATAACTAGTTTCATACTAATATTCACAAAATTAACGGATAACTATGTTATTCATTCGTAAAACACAAGGAAATCTAATATACAAGATATTTGATTTTTAAATACAGATTAACAATTAATTATAGATTTGTGTACATAGTTTTAAGCATATTATTTGTGTAAGAGCGAGTAATAAAATAAAGCGGTTGACTAAACGGAAGTAAAAGAAATGCGGCTTATAGTCTGTAATTCACTGATCAAAGATCGATTACATTACTTACTGAAACTACCATCACTACTTTTAATCTTATGTACATACACGTAGGACATTAGTATTATTGAAATCATTTAAATGTTTAACACAATTTGTTTACAAAAATGGAAATAATTTTTTTCATTTTTAAGTGTTTGATAACATATTTAGCATCATAACCGTAATAATCATGATAATAAATAGTTTGAAATTGGAACGGAAGAACTTGGTACGTAAATAGGTCCATTATTAGTTTATAACGACCATATACACAAATTAAAGTTATATAATCGTATTGTAGTCATTCACAATGTTATAAAATGAAAATTCCAGAGCAAAGTTTGAAGATATAGTTCAGTGTTAACACCCGCTGATTCAGCGATCAAATTTCCAAGATAATAAGATATCATTTTTTAATGACTGAGTGTGCAGTAGTTTGAAGATTGATCAATATCACAGTTTTTTTAAATACAATGTTATTAAAACGTAATTAAAAAACAAGAATAATGACGAATAAGGATATACGTACCGCATCTAAATCAACATGTTTTTGAGTAAGCTGTTGACGTAATGAACGAATTAGTATTTTCTGACGGTCTATAACTTCTTTAAGGCGTAGCATAAGTTGTATTTCCTCGACATTTGTAGAATCTAGAGAGTAAATAAATAAATAAAGATGCTGAACAATAGAACGAAATGGAGAACAGTAAAATCACCTTCCTAAGTGAGTGAGTCAATCATGTGCAACGTAGAGCCTTACATACATGCGCATTCGTCCAATTTGTTATACTGCACAGGGAGACAAAAATATCAAGTAAGATTCTAAAGTAGTAAATAGAGTAGCAGCATCAGTAGTGATAGAAATGATTATGCGTAGAAATAGAAAAAGGTAAATGGAGATTTCAAGACTCAGGGGAGACAGAACGAATGCATCTAGGCCATTAAGAACTATCTTGAGCCATTTCATCCAAAGTCTCTAACATTTTTAAGTATTTATAGTAAGTTTAGTATAACAAAATCTACTAAGTTAAAATATAATCACTAACATAGGATTTTTGTAAGTACTAATTGCTTTTTTGTTAACCTCTATCATGAGCAGATATCACTTAGAGAACTATGGAAAAGCAGAAATTGGATAGTCAATCTAGAGTACAATGAAATTCAGTAGTGGGTACCAACAGCTTAATAAGGAACGGGACCTAGGACCTTTAAGTTTCACAGTAAAACGTCATACGTATTTATCATCACTGGATCAAAGAATTGAGTTAAACGTCTTTAATACACTCTGATTTTCAGTTATTCTTTAAATAGATTCAGTCAGTGTTCAAATATTTAAATTAATTTAAGAACGGTGTTTATATGCACGGTCCAGACAAGCCAAACATCATAACGACTCACTGCCATTTCATTGAAAGCAAACGAATTAGTGGATGGCACTGACAATTTAATAAAACTTCATTGAGTCCAGCAAGATATCTCACACTCAATTGAACTGTCATCATATCTTCCTTTACAGAAGAATATGTTTATAAGTGCGTTAAATCAGGCAGATATGCGTCAAAAATTAAGGCTGAAATAATGGGATCCAAAATTTTCCGATAATTATCGTCAATATCAACTTCTAATTGGGTTTATAAATTTATAAGCATTCTGAGATAAGTCAAAGGTTATATTAAGTTTATATTTACATAGCAAGTTTATGATGCTACTACAACTTAGAGGATAGTGTGAATTTTTGTCCGTAGTTAATGGCAAGTTAGAATAAAATCTATAAATACACATGTATATTATGGATTTTTAAAAACTTTAAGGGTATGACCTTACTTGCAGAACAAGCTGGAATCGGTGAATGGTTAATCGATGCTTCATTATCTTCAATTGCATCTTTAAGTTGTTTGTTTTCTTCTTTTAACTTCTCGATTAGTTGGGAAAGTTCCTGAACTTCAGAATGCCATGTCTCCTCAATTTGTTCCAGCTCCTCAAAAAGTAATGACAAGGAAATTTATCTTTAATCAAATTTTAGCAATACAACTTAGAGGTTAATGATTTGATTATTTGCTATAATGCTATGTAAAAGTTAATTTCTGATTACTTGAAACAAGGTGTTAAGAGCAGATTTACAGTTCCTGACACTAGAGTTGCGTATATATTAGATACCAAACGAGCAATAATTTAACGGCACTTTAACGATACTTAAAAACGCGCATATACTTGTAACAAAACGAAATTTCCTGGTATCAAGCCTTTAAGTGTCACAACATATGGAAGGCATTTAAAAAAACTACTTATACGATACGTCTTACACGACCTCATAATATGGACAGAAGCATTAAATTTCATTGAAGGAATTGTTACTTTGAAGTAACTAAGTGGGGATTTGCAGTTTAAATGGCGGCATAAATCTGGTACGAATCTCGACTGGGAACCAAATATAATTTGTTATATCTCCAATAGCAAACTACACAGTTTAATAAAACAGCCAATAAATGCTTTCACTTTACCATAAATAATAACATCGGTTACCGGATTTTCAATAATTTCTCCAAAGTTCACTGTTCACTTGATTAAACAGGCAAATACGAGTTGGTTATAACAATAGGAATATAATACCTAATCAATCTGTTGATGATAAAGATTTCATTGCGGTACATCTAACATTGTCTATGTTGTGTCATAAGTTATAACCTGGACCTTACCACGACGTAGTTTGAAATATATTAACGCAGTTATGAACGAAATAAGTGAACGCAATTAGTAGACATCCGCAATCTCATTTCAACACTGTCTTTAATATTCGACTAGTCCCTAACTATCAAGAGAGACAACCGAAGTGCGAAGAATATATATTCTATGGAGAGATAGAATTTCTTATATAAATAAACTTTTCAGTATTTAATAGACGTTTAAACAATTCTGACTTTAAGCGAATTATACACCAAATACATGTCAAATATGAATGAAATAATTACTAGAATATAGTAGAGTTACATACTGAGATAATTAACAACAATTTATAAAAATATAACCGTGTTAATTGAGAGATTAGCACACTAGGAGACCAATAATTTTACTTTTGTTCGCTTCTTGATATCAGTTCAATATACAATAATAATACGCAGAAATTTTCATTGACAGGATTTCCTAGAATTTATTCATGATGCTTTAGTAACGGCTTATTATTAAGCCTATCTACATCAAATAAAAGGAAACACGTCGAAATAACTGTGAAAAAAACCAACTGTGGTAGAAAGTTGTTTAACAGACAGGTAGCCTATATTGCTGAGCAATGAGTTACATAGGTGAATCTCAAAGCTCATCTCCAATTATCGTGATCTATCTAACACCATATAAAGTGCAACACAATGTCCAGTTATACGTACGAAATGAAATAATAAAAATATGAGAATGTAATATTCATTCTTTTGAATCACTCAGGATTTTTAAATTGTCCAGTTAATTACTCATCGGCTGTAAGGATTGGAAAGAACGTAAACCTACCTTTTTATGCCTCTTTTGATCTTCTTTACGTTCCAACTTTTCAAGTTCTAACCGGTGTACGGCAGTTTGAAGGGTAATAATTTCTCTTCCTTCAGACTCAAACTTTGTTGCGAAATCTTCCAATTCTTCAAGGACGCTTATCACTTTAGGCATTAAGTTGGACACTGAGTACGGCCCATATTTATCAATGATAGACTCAAATTCTTTACCAATTGAAGCAGCTATGTCGTAAACATCGAGAACAGATATAGACGGTGTAGATGGACGATCGCTTAGTGCTTCGGACGGAAAAGTAACAAGGGTTTTATTTATACCCTCCAGGCTGAAGCGACGAGTAAGCCTGGGGGAGTTATCGGGATGGGACAACAGTTTGTATAGGCTGAATGTAACGGAAAAAAGTGGAAGACAGCATAATTTCAATGTCAGTACTTAATTTTCCAAATTATAGTAACGTATTTATGAGTATTAGTGAGGCATACATTTGAATTTTTGCAAAGATTTATAAGATTGTCAACTAAATTGACGCTTCCAATTAAGGAAATCCAGTTATTGTCCAAGTTCATTCCAAATTAAATTGAGCGAGAACCAACTTAATACATACAAGTTGGATAGAAGATATGAGCATGTCAAACAACAATACAACTAAGATTTTGCTTATCTTAAAGAAACATATCGGTGATGAGAAATACAAATAACCTTGCAGTAAGATAACATATTTATTCAAACACATAAACATTGGTACAAGGAGGCACCAAATACATATGCGCCACATAATAACAATGAGGCCAGTAGTAGTTAACACATGGTCTTCTATTAGTTATTTTTAATATCATACTAAGATAGTAAGCCGTACAACTTTTAATAACCCATTTAAGGCGTCTTGAAGTATCAGAAGACGCCGATCCATCATGGTTATTACTGATTTCGTGGTACCATGTTACAAAATGACCACCAGCTTGAATTCTCAACCCAGTACTACAAGTAGTGTTCCGCCTGAAAGTCATGTCGGTAAGGTATGTAAAACATGACGTAGTTGTTCAGGATGGTGTTCAAAGATGGTGCACTATCTACTTCATAACCCAACACACACTAAAGTGAAGAGGAATTACTGATGCGAAATTATACTGTAAACTCTACATCAATTGGGCTCCTCCGTAGAAAGATGGTAATCTTAAGAAACAATTGGGTAAACTGACTACCAGTAGTAGTCATATAATGAAATCAAAATCAAAAAAATTGTTTTGATTTTTATCCAGGACTACTGATTGTCGTGAACTCGCCTGACAGATCACCACGATAAATGTAAGACATTATGAATGCCTTAGGAATCAATCGAGTGACGAATCCTTTATATTCTTTCTTTACAGTATAGCTGTGATAAAAATCAATGTAAACAAAATCTATCTCTTGGATATTTTATCGCTCATACAGGAGGAATACGTAACCCTATACGATTGCTATAGTAATATGAAATATGAATATCTTAGGTGAGTGAAAGCGTACGCTACTAGTTGATTTCGCGAATCACACATACTTCAAATGAGTATGAAAGTACATATTTGATCATATTAATGAATCATGGAAGAGAAAATGAAGGTTTTGGAAACCTGGTAAATCCCCTAGGATTTCATATTATCGAAATACATAAACGTCTTGGGTGTTAAGATTAACAAATGAATCCAAAACGAGAATTATTTCAAAGACAAATCGTAAACATAATAATACCATTTTACTACTAATTCTTCATGAATTCTCTTTAACTAATAAATTAAGACATTTATGATCCAAAAGTATTTCAGTCATAAGTTAGGATCTGTAAACACTAAGAGATACTAGAAATATGGAACGTACATTATATGAAAGAAATATGTGATCAAAAACCGAAGTACTTGGTAACTCTGATAAGCTGTAACGCAAGACTCCAAATAAGTGCTGAATTGGTTTGAATGAATCAAATGGATTTGGTCAGAATAGAAGAAGCTTTCGCTTAATGGGCTTCCGTGTCTAGTATCAGTAGATCACCGATACCTCCAGGCAGGAACCTAGGTGTATTAACGATAATTGAGGAAAAAAGAAATTGGTAAATCATAGTAAGTTATTATCCTTAGTCCTTAAGAATAGGTCAAGTTCCCTCTCAAAGGACTCCTGGGAAGCATTTGACTACTCTTAAGGAGTAGAAGTTGTGTCCAAAGTCCGTTCTGCTATGTTGTGTCTCCAGTTTCTGGGCGTTACCCCTAAGGTTTGTGCTGAAGCTAAACTTAAGTAGGTGTCTAAGGGGATGTCCAGAAGTGTTAAGGATACTGTAATCCATTAGAAGGTCACCTATAAGACGCCTTTACTATAATGGGTAAAAGTTTGGTGAGTGGAGGCGCTCTTCATGAGGCTTGAATTTGAGTCGCCAAACTGATTTCGTGCCTCGTCTTTGGATACGCTCCAGAGTGTCCTTATCCTTTTGGAGTGAGAGAGGAAATACTATGTTTCCATACTCTAAATGGGGATGAATGAATGATTATGTGGAACGTTCTTCCGTCAAACTGACAAAAATTGGGCTTCAATGTTGCCAGGGCAAGATTCGCTTGAAAGGCATTTTTGTCACAGTTAGAGTAAGACTTCAAATCGTAGGACACCAGCACTCCTAAATCTTTTTCAACTTGAGATACTCCTAGAGAGAAGTTTCCTAAGTTGTAACTGTAGTCTGCAACATGTCTCAGATGGACTACATTACACTTTGGAGTGTGAAAGGTAAGTCTGTAGCGTGGGGTTGAGTCGTAATTCATTATGAACACTGCCACCAAATGCCCTGGTACGATCAAGAGTGGGGTGGGACCACCCTCCCTCTCGAAATACTCTCACGTGGCCCCGCGTATACAGCCTCTACCAGGGAAGTCCTATTCACTGCCTTCTCGTGGTGGGGGTGTTGTTTACGAAAATGAGAGGACGAAAAGAGGACGTCCTGCGCTTTAACCGGATTCCAAACCAATGGTGCACATGGGCTTCAGTATCCTGCGAGAACGAATGGCGTATGAACCAATTCTCGGTCGCCGGCTACCATGGGAATCCATCTCCTTACGATGCTTCACTGCCTTGTGGGTTAGACCTTTAGGTCAAAGGCTCGGGGTGTGGCTTCCTAAGATAACCATCTGCTTCGGTTTGGGCACCCGGGCAGTATCACAGCCCACATGCAAATATGATGAACTGTCTACGATAATGTAAACTAATTCTCTTGCTTCGACAAACATTCAATTGATTCAAATATTATTGCTATTATTATTATTATTTACTACATCATTATTCACCCTCTTTTATTCCACTCTGTCTATACTTATTTTTTTCGACTTATACAGCAGCTCGTTTATGGTGGAAATTCGACTCTATCTAAACGTTCTCGAGTCACTGCCTAGTTGAAAATTGTATGCTAACACCAAATACGAATACTGAAGCAGTTTTTCTGAAACCACGTGCACCATTCAAACTGGTTGCCTTCAACGTTCGCACACTAGTGCAGGACGGACAACAGATAGGGATGGCTATGCCTTTGGAAAGTCCTAATATCGACGTTTGTTGTCTATCGGAGACTCGTATTCAAGACTCTGATGAAGTACTACAATTTCGATCTCCATCTGTCGCTTCGAAAAGCTTGTTCTATGTGCGTTTATCCGAGGACCCTGTAGCATCTTCGTCTGGTATTGCTGGCGTTGGTGTCGCACAAAGCGCTAGAGCTGAGGCAGCATTAATCGATTGGTTCCCCATTAACAGTCGGTTATGTGCTGTTAGATTAGAGAGTTCCATCAAAGTGAGAAGAAATCGGCGTGAGAAACGATGTCTTCTCGTCATCTCCGCCTATGCGCCGACAGATTGCAGCCCGGATGCAATCAAGGATAAGTTTTACCACCAGTTATCTGTTCTTCTCCAGAAAGTGCGTTTGACAGATATTGTAGTACTAGCCAGAGACTTGAATGCTTAGATCGGGTGTCTAGGCACAGAAGAGAGTCGTTTAGGTGGCCGATAGGGACTCGTTGGTCGCAGGACAGATAACGGGGACCGTCTACTGCAACTTTGCACAGACCACAACCTGTTTCTGGCTAGCACTAACTTTCGGCACAGTCATCGCCGATGTGCCACCTGGCGTCCTCCCTCTGCATCTCAAGCCTGGACTCAGAATGATCACATCGCGATCAGCTACCGCTGGCGTGGTTGTGTAAAAGACTGCCGCTCCTTTTGGAGTACCTATCTGGACTCTGACAATGCATTGGTCTGCGCCAATCTTACCTTACTTTTCACTGGCCAACAAAGTGGCCGCCATCAACGGATTGGTATTAGCAAGCTGGTTGCAACTTTTGTTGCAAGTAAGTATCGAACCGCGCTAGCCTCTAGGCTAGCTACCATTCCACCGAAAAGTATAGATGAGCATTGGTTGCAATTGCATGACGCCATGAAAATGGTGGGTACAGTCAGTTGTGGGTTCGCGAAACGTCCCGCTTACAAGCACTGGGTTTATTCAGGCTCCTTACGACTCATTGAAGCCTGTCGGTTTACTCCGGGTGACCGTGAGTTTGACAACAAACGAAGGATGTTACGTAAGGAAATTGGGCAAAGCTTGCGTAAGGACCTAGAAGCCTGTTGGTCAGAGCGTGCTAATGAGTTGGAAGCAGCAGCTGCATCTGGTAATTACTGGAAGCTCTTCCAACTCATCCGAGCCACTGGCAGCAAGAAGTCTGGCGTGAGTGAAACAATCTGCGAGGACGATGAGACGCCAATCACTAGCATCCATCGACGTCCTGGACGATGGGCAGAATTTTTCGAAGGGCAGTTCAAATGGCCTGCTGCTCCGACAACATCGATCAGACTGTGCTGCCCTCCATGGCCGGTGACGATTGATCCACCAAATGAGGCATAAGTCCGCAAGGAACTCCAATTCTTGAAGCGCCACAAATCACCTGGCTCAGATGATTTACCTCCGGCTCTTTTTAAAGATGGTGGTGGCTTTCTGACTAAGGAACTGACGACGTTGTTTACGAAGGTTTGGGAACTAGAGGGTGTACCAACGTCATGAAATGAGTCAATAATTGTGCCTATCTTTAAAAAGGGTTCACGTCGTTCCTGTAACAACTATTGGAGGATAAGTCTACTTCCGATTGCGTTCAAGCTATTGGCTTCCGTCATACTTCGTAGTTTGTTCAAAACCCGAGAAAGATTGACTTGCGAGGAGCAGGCTGGTTTTCGTTCCGGTCGAGGATGTATTGATCATATCTTCACCCTCCGCCAAATGTTAGAACACCGCCATACATATCAAAGGCCAACAATCGTAGTGTTTCTTGTCATCAGGGCTGCCTTTGATTGGTTGGATAGGACTTTTCTCTGGGATTGTCTATTGAAGAAAGGTGTGCCTGAGAAGTTTATTAACATCCTAAAAGCTCTATATACAAACACCTCAGGCAGAGTGAGGGCATACAACCACCTCTCTCCATTGTACCATCCGAGCAGTGGGGTTAGGCAGTGTTGCCCAATCTCACCATTCCTCTTCAACTTTGCCATCGATGACATTCTGGAAACAGCTCTGATGGATATGAGTAATGGCGATGTGGATCTACTGCCTGGAGAAAGACTTCTCGACCTTGAGTATGCGGACGATATTGTCTTACTGTGCGACAATGCCCAAGGCATGCAATCCGCACTTAATCAGTTGGCAATTAGTGTCTGTAGGTACGGTATGAGCTTTGCACCTTCGAAGTGTAAAGTACTTCTACAAGACTGGCAGGATTCTAATCCTGTACTCACTCTGGATGGTGAGCAGATAGAAGTAATCGAGAAGTTAGTGTATCTGGGTAGCTGCATAAATGTTGGTGGGGGTGTGAGTGATGAGATCAATGCACGTATAGTGAAAGCCAGAGTGGCTTATGCCAATCTGGGCCATCTTTGGCGCCTTCGTGATGTTAGTCTGGCTGTAAAAGGTCGGATCTGCAACGCGTCGGTGAGAGCAGTTCTGCTCTATGCTTGTGAAACCTGGCCTCTCCGAGTTGAGGATGTTAGACGACTCCCTGTGTTCGATCATCGTTGTCTCCGAAGGATTGCTGACATCCAGTGGTGACACCATGTTAGTAATGCAGAGGTTCAGCATCGTGTGTTCGGGCACAGAGACGAAAATACAATCGGTGTCAACATCTTGAAACACCGACTTCGGTGGCTTGGACATGTTCTACGAATGTCGTCCCACGTCGTGCATTATTTGCCGACGCTGGGACTGGCTGGAAAAAGCGGAGAGGTGGCCAGTATATGACATGGTGTCGTGGGATGAAAGAAAGCTGCAAAGGACTGGCTTCTGTTAGTCCTTCACGACTCCCTGGCTGGGGTTCGAGAGATGGTGCTACACAGCAGCTAGAGACGTTGTCAGATATGGCTCAGAATAGGGGTCAGAGTCGATCCTACTGTAACCTTCTTTTACTTTCTTCATAAAAAGCGGTTGTGTCTTCCTTAACTGAAAGATTTCTTCTGATTGTACCTTTCCGTTCCCCCATTTTTACCATTATTATTATTACACCACCTTACATCAATCTCTTCGTTATTATTCTCTCTTGTTTTTTCCTTCCCCTTAAATTCTCATTGTTTTGTGTGGCGCATATATATTTGGCGCATTCTTGTACCAATATTTATGTGTTCAAATAAATAAATAGCCAAGAAACGCATGCCAAATGACTCCATAAAATCTCCTCGAAGGCAATTATCAGAAGGCAGTTAGTGGACCAAGTCGAGATATATTTGCTGGCGATCTCGTATTATCGAAAGGATACCGAGATCGTGACAGGATACAAGCTTGGTTACAGAGCGTACCCGAATTCGCATCAAGTCACAATCAAAAGTGTAAGAATAATGGATGGTTTTAGCACAGTTAAACAAAAGCACAGACACTGGTACAATTGGTTATAATAATTGTTTTCAATAAACCAATCGTGTTCTCGTGATAAAAGTGAGTCTCTACTGGAACCCATCGCTAGAAAGGGTTTACACTTTCGATAAGTAGCGGTTTACATCGTGGGAGTGATCGGTTGACGCGCGATTGTAGGACGGAAGGATCTGCGAACAGGAAAGCGATCGTTGATCGTCGAGTTGCCAGCGAAGGTCATTTTCAGAGAACGGTACCAGGAGCGATGTGCTGTATTTGTTGCTTGAGTTGGCACGCCACACGAGTGGTTTGTATCCAGAATCTTAAGATGGCATTCGTAGAAACGCTGCAGACGTAGGACGAAACCACGTTGAGTCAAAAGACCAGAAGCGGCTGCAACGACCAAGTTCGAAACCAAACGTATGCCAAACATTCGAAACCAATATATCGACTAAGTACGTTGACAAGAGCGTAGGTGGCCATTCCAGCTTTCGCCAAAGTTGACTGAAGTCGACGGAACCAAACGGAGATGGTCAAAGGCGTGAGCTCAGGAAACAAAAAAAATCAAAAAAGAGAAGAGTGTAGCATGCGTGTAGTATAGGAATAGTCCTACACCATATCGGTTGTTGACTGTGAGACTAATCGGAAACGTACGGGCAACCGTACTCGTCGACCGGAACGTGAGACGGAAGCCTCTTTCGTATTTCGTGAGCCTGCAATCTCATTCGAGGTCAGAGGCGGCGTGGTCTGCTGATCCGAACCTGAGACTGTCGTCTCGTCCGTAGATAGTGCAGATGACGCGTGATGTTGACCTGGACGTGAGAATGAGGTCTCGGATGTATCTAGCGTGTGATCTAAAGAAGATTTAAGGATCCCGCTAGGTTTGATAGGTCTAGCACTGAATCTCAAGTTATCAGATAGGGCATTGTCATCGACATATGCTGGTTTGAGACGATCAACGCTGACGATCTCGACGCGGCCATGTCGATCAACCTTGAGGGTCTTTTCGTGACGATCGATCACGTGAAAAGGACCTTCGTAAGGTTGTTGCAAAGGTTCGCGTACCGAATCTACTCGTATGAAAACACCTGTACAGGTAGATAACTCCCGAGGGAGAGCCACATGTCGATGTTGTATTCGAGTTGACACCGGAGACAGCGTTCGCATAAATGCAGACAGTCGATGGACGTAGTCTGATTTACCGAAATTAGGTCTGCTCCGTGGTGTGAAGAATTCCCCATGCAGACGCAATGTCGTGACGTTTACAAGTTCAGAGCCGGAACATTGGATATCTGCCTTCAAGCTCGTTCTGATCCCTAAAAGAACGAGCGGTAAGGTTTCGTGCCAGTTGCCGTTTTCGTGTGCTCGTAGAGCACTTTTAAGTTGGCAGTGAAACCGTTCACTTAACCATTTGGTGCTGGGTGGTAGACGGATATGCTTATGCGCATGCATTCCGTACCAAGCAGCCCGGTCAGCGAGGAGAATCGGTAATAGGGTAAAATTTCTCGAATAAAGCGTGAATTTACCGTCACGCGAATAACAAGTGACAAGGATTCGGTACACATACATGGGAGTCTATTATATTGATATTATTCTTATCGTTATCCGTCATGTCGAGTATATTGTATATCAACAGATAATATGAAACTATACGACAGACGTGGATAGATAACTAATAGACTCACCAAATTGGCTTCTTTGGAAGGTTTGACCAGAGGTTGTGGCGTGTTCCAGAATTCGGGTCAACAGTTGTAGCGTGCAGTCGAGTCGTAATTTACTATGAACACCGCTACCAAGAAACGCGCGAAGTCACAATCAAAAGTGTAAGAATAATGGATGTTTTTAGCACAGTTAAACAAAAGCACATTAAAACAGTCACTGGTACAATTGGTCACAATAATAATTGTTTTCAATAAACCAATCTTGTTCTCGTGATAAAAGTGAGTCACTACAAGTTCGTTGTCATCTGCCCAACTTTGAAGTCGAGTCATATCCTCCTGAAGTGCCAGCATATCTGTAGAATTATGGTCTACTATAATATTAGTGCTGCTCTAATAATAGACCTAATCCTAAATTTGTAGATTTGTCATGATATAACTGTCTAATCTATAAGATCTTACGTGGAAGTCACACCATCGACTACGCCAACTCAGTGTATCGTATCAATTACCAATACATGATGTAGAAAAAAGTTAAGCTAGAGAAAGAACAATGTATTTAATATGAATAGAAGATATAAGATAACATTCAGCAAGGACCACGCCTGCATGGCCGAGCCATGCCATTCGATCAACTCTAATTCATTCAATTCATTATTCGCGCCTTCTCCATCGTTAGGTATTTCTTCGCGTTAAATATTAAATACCTATTTTCCGAGTAATCTCGTATTCAGTTTTGAGGATAGTGTGGTTATGGTCCAATGCCACTACACTACTCTCCCACCAGAATCAACGTGGTGTTGGTTCGATACCAAATTGGATGGAACTGTAGTGTGCCAAAGGTTACCAAGACTAATAAGAATCCTCCGGGTGATGACAAGCTGAAAAATAAATCAAAAAGAAGACGTCAGCATCTGGTCGCGAAATACATGTAATAATTTTAAAATATCCGCCTTCATGCTTAACACGCTTACAATGAAAATTTGAGTGACTATTTGAGCTATTTAGAACAACATATATAAGCGAACAATATTGTTTTCGATTAGATCCTCATCAGGCTTTACTCTAATATACAGTAATATTTATATGCATATACGAAATTATTAAACCAATCAAGGTAGTTTATAGGTCAATGATGATAACAATGAAAACGATTACATAATAAGTAAGATGTGAAAAGTACAAATTGATAGTGTGACAACAGGTGCATTAGTTTTGATAAGCAATAATAATAAAGGTTCAAATCAATGTTACATAATCTGAAATAGGTCAATGATTAGAAAAATATAGAAACTGCGATAACAATTATAAAATTATAAGATGACGTAATAAGAAATGTTCAGATAATTGGACCATGAAACGTATAGTTGAGAGAAAATAAAGTGGTAGGAGGGTGTGAAGAAAAATAATAAACGAAGAGAAAGTTAGAAAAGGAATAATAAATAAATTCATTTATTAATTAAGGCCAAGGGAGCTATAAAAAATGGGATTACAATAATAACAATAATAATAATAATAATAAAACGATGCGTGTTAATAGCCGTTGGTTAATAACTTAATGTATAGGTAGTAAGTATTTTGTGTTTGGAAATATTAAAGTAATGAATTGTAGAAATGTTAATATTGGTATTAGTTTTGGTTTAAATTATAAAATCAAATAACGTTAACGTTAGTGAGCTGCCCACATGAGTTTATTTCCGATTGCATCTGTATTAGTAGGCTAACTGAAGGAACAAAAGTATTACCGTGGAGAAGGATTCCAACTAGTGTTCCAGTTAGTCCGATACGGTTTTAGTTACGAGGAGATTTTCTAAACCATATGTTTACCTGAACGTGATAGAATTTAGTAATACTACTAATACACATGAATGGTTATCAAAACAAAATTTAAATACGTGAGTGATAATTATGTAAATTTTGGACAGTTAGCTAGAAACAAATCGTTAGACATGAGTGTATTCGTAAGAGACATGCTCTAGACTCAATGTTCTGATCTGCGGCAGACTATTATGTATATTTATACATATTAATATTTACATATCCTCTTGGTTGAGTATCTCTCCAACGTTTCAGATCGTCACCAAAAAGTAGTAAGCTGTCTTCATCAACCGAGGTCTAGAATTTTGGTCGTACTTGGCTAGTCTCGCTGCTGCTTAAGTCAATATGTTTTTCAGCCTTAAGAACCGATTGATGAATTTCAATTCCCGAATATCACTTTCTGTGGTCAGAGTCCGTGTTTTTTGATGCACCTTGCACAATTATATTTCTTTTTGCGAGATTCCTTGGGAATGTTCCGGGTGAGATTGAGCTCAGCATACGGTATATTGGGCAGAACTCTTACATTACCATCTGATTACAATAAATGATTAACCTGTAAGACATCCTCTACGTCGGTAGAGTTAGTGGAGGTTGCACGAAGTAGTCTTGGGTGAATTCAATCAGTGGAGTCCGTTACCCGAGTGAGCCACATTACCGTCAAAGACTATATTTTGGGAAGTTTGCGCTTCTTGTTTAACTCTCCCCAGAGCGTCCAGTCATTTCTATGCTGTTGGCTGAAGAAAAGGTCAGGGATGTTATTAAGGTTCATGATTATGAGGGAATCATCGCGAACCGTGATTGTTTTCCCAGGTTTTCGAGTACGTTCAGGTTGAGGACCTTTATTGTTTGATGGTTGATGCGCGTTTCTGATTCCTGTGCTCTTTGCTAACTGGTTGAACAGCCTTGGGGTAGACTGTACCGTCAAATCACCAATCGATCTCCCTACAATGCTTATGATGTTCAGGTTTTTAGACTGTGACGTGCGATCCGTTTTGACTTTGTTGACAGGGGTTTAATCGCCTACAGGGTTTTGGGGACCACCGTTGCATTTAGCGATCCTGTACTGGGAGGACAAAGTTTGCTGAGGGAGTATAGTGCAGTTGATGTTATGATAGTACCGAGCTTCAACACATTATCTGTGTATTTGTTTTAGGACTGCCTTTTTCCAGGTTTGCTGACCTCTCGATAGAAAGAAAAGGATTTTCATGAACATAAAGCTCTGGACGGATTTTTTGGATGAAAACGGTACTTAGGTTGCGTCAGAACATTGCAAAAGTTTAAGAAATGAAATTCACGTTAGGACTAAGCCTCCCGTTCTTAAGGTGCGTGTATATAGTATCGTTTTACTTCTCCTTCTTTCCCTTCCTTTCGTAGATTTCCTCATACCCATTATTCTTCGCACTCCTCCATCACAGTGTGCCAAACTAGAAGTCGAGGATGACGGGGTGTTGGGTAATATAACGTGTAGAATGAAATGTAATATATTTTGTCATGTATGACACGCAATATTGAAAGACGGGACGTGATCTGAACAGCACACCTCACTGAGCACATTCAATCAGGATTTATCGTGGGTAGACTAAGATCAGAATAGATGTCCTCGACCTAAAAAGGACGTTTGCCAATACAGGTCGAAGTGTTTGGGTAACAAATTTCTCAGATTTAAATGAAGAGTCAGTTGAAGCTAGACCACCATGGAAAACCTGGAAGCACTGGACGGCCGTTTCGTCCTAGTATGATTCACCCAAAGTAAATGCGCAGTACATAATGTTAAACAGTAACCAAACTATTACTATTACTCCCATTGTGTAAGGTTGATTCAGGCCTTTATTATTCTTATTACAACTAGTACACCTGCCATCACACTAACAATTTATACTTTTCACTTATTATACTTGTTTATGTAATCTATTACGTTTTTACCATTGTCGAGCGATCAAATAACGTATCGAAAGCAGGGTACTATATCTACGTGTTCTGTCAGGAATACGTGTGGTTGAAATATACTAGATTATACAGGTTAAGAACTCTTATTTTGGTATAACTCACCTGCTAGAAAAATACCTATAATTACCCCAAAACAAAACGAAATTGGCTGATTTCACGTTATAGCAACCCGCATGCAATTGAGTTTCTTCACATTTATTTGGTTAAGCCCTCTTGTTAACTTATTAAACAGAGAGAGTCATCCGTACTATAACAACTTATATTATTGTACCTTTCTTATTGTCGTGCTTGTATGAAATATGTATGCTTGAACATTGCTTATTGCCTACGCATATAGTCATTCTGCAAGCTTTATTATTAGCTTCTTAATTGATTCGATGATCCATTCATTTCCCTTTATATATACATGTACATTTACACTACATACTCTACACTCTCGGTTCTCTGACTCACTCATTCGCCTCTCTGTTGCGTGGTCTGAGCTATCTGCTAATAAAACTGTGATCGCTGCTTCCCTTTTTTGCCTTCTGATTTCAAATACGGTTGAAGATTATATTATAACGGTTACGAGGGTGATCGGTTAACGAAGCACAGCCAATAAAACGTAACTAGTCTCGACGGTAGTGTACTCAAATTATTACGATCTTGATAATTATACAAGTTAATATGAGTTGATTTGCGAAAAGTTGTTGAAAAAGCAAAATGAGGCAATCAGAATTTAGGATGTGACTTTTACATTTTTACGCATTTCTGGCAAGTACTAGGACCTCTTCTTCTCTTGATTTATACAACCGATCTTCCACAACAGTTGTTGTCTGACTTACTAATTTTTGTTGACGATATGAAACGTTGGAGAGATACTCAACCAAGAGGATGTGCTGGCAGTTCAGGAGGATATGACTCGACTTCGTAGTTGGGTAGATGACAACGGACTTACCTTCAACACTCCTACGATTTGAAGTCTTACTCTAACTGTGACAAAAATGCCTTTCAAGCGAATCTTGCCCTGGCAACATTGAAGCCCAATTTTTGTCAGTTTGACGGAAGAACGTTCCACATAATCATTCATTCATCCCCATTTAGAGTATGGAAACATAGTATTTCCTCTCTCACTCCAAAAGGATAAGGACACTCTGGAGCGTATCCAAAGACGAGGCACGAAATCAGTTTGGCGACTCAAATTCAAGCCTCATGAAGAGCGCCTCCATTCACCAAACTTTTACCCATTATAGTAAAGGCGTCTTATAGGTGACCTTCTAATGGATTACAGTATCCTTAACACTTCTGGACATCCCCTTAGACACCTACTTAAGTTTAGCTTCAGCACAAACCTTAGGGGTAACGCCCAGAAACTGGAGACACAACATAGCAGAACGGACTTTGGACACAACTTCTACTCCTTAAGAGTAGTCAAATGCTTCCCAGGAGTCCTTTGAGAGGGAACTTGACCTATTCTTAAGGACTAAGGATAATAACTTACTATGATTTACCAATTTCTTTTTTCCTCAATTATCGTTAATACACCTAGGTTCCTGCCTGGAGGTATCGGTGATCTACTGATACTAGACACGGAAGCCCATTAAGTGAAAGCTTCTTCTATATCGTCCACAACGATTTAAACCATTAATACAGGACAAAAACGACAGGATTCTCTGGGGTGAATTGAACAAGAAACTCGAACGTCCTAGAATAGAGCCTTTGATGGTCACCCGGCTCACTCAAGGAAAGGACTCTAAGCATCCTGAATCCGCGCGC